AAGATAAGTTGGAAAGTAAAAGTAACAACCTGAAAATAACAGTAATTAAATTATAGATTTATAGATTATACCACCAGCAGTAGGAATTTGCTTTCATTTTACTCTGGGAAAGAATTTTAAGACATCTGAATGTGTGTGTTCACAGATTATATGATTATACTGTGTGTGTGTATATATATATCATGTAATAGTTAATTAGAAGTATAAAGAGAACAAAAAATTAATTTTTATTCAAAGTTGTGCATATTATTACAATGATCTTTATTTTTAAGATTCAAAATTGAATGAAAATTTTCATATTAGATGAATTGCTTGAAAATGTTGTGAGTTTGGTTCAACACTATGGAGAATATGAGGTTCAAATCAAGAAAATATTCTTGATAAGGTGATTCATGTGTATGGTATATGGCATAGAGGTGAATTTTAGGTGGTGTCTGGTCCCTAACTTTATAGTTCTGGGCATTTCTATGCTATCTAATCTCTTCTAAACTTATAAGGGACAATGAATCTAGAAGGGAGGCAGTAAAATGAAACGAAAAACCATGTTTTGGAATCATATGTAACAAGGCTTAAATCCTAATTTGGAACAAGTTCCTAATATCTGGAAGATTCAATTTTGTTTGTCTCATTTGAACTATGGGTATAATTCCCACCCTATCTCACCTGACCCTGTATCTCTAACATTTGTGGTAAAGATTAAATAAAATAATGTATATAAAGCAATCCATTATACCTAGGTAAGTAAAGGCTCAATTAAGAGTAGCTGTTTTAAATGTGTCTAGCTGATAATTAAAATAATTACTCCTTTACACTTCCTTTCATGCTTTCCAGAGACATTGTTTGTTGTGCAATGATACATGTTCACTTAAGCTTCTGATTAGTTTTTTTTTTAAGATTTATTTATTTATTTTAGAGAGAGAGCATAAGCAGGAGGGGTAGAGGGAGAGGGAGAGAGAATCCTAAACAGACTCCACACTGAGCATGAAAACCTGACACAGAACTCGATCTCATGACCCTGCGGTCATGACCTGAGCCAAAACAAAGAGTCAGATGCATAACCTGACTGACCAACTGGACCACCCAGGCACCCCTCATTAGTTTTTTAAAATGTGAACAAAGAGCCATAGTCTTGAAAGTCGAAGTTGTCTCTGGAAATAACCTGACTTTTTGAGAGAAAGGATTTTTTAAGGTATCTGTAACTGGAAAACTGAGAACAGACTTTAGAGTGGGAAAGAGTATATGACAACATAAAAGTTAGTTTTTGTTTCTGGGAAGAGAATTGAATCATTCACTAGCTGGTGAGAGAGGAATTCAAAATGTGACGAGGTCCTAGGTATTATCTGAGTCTCTGGGAAGATGCCCAGAACCCCAGTTCTCTGGGTTGAGCTGGAGGGGAATTAAGCAATAGAAATTTGAATGAGGTTAGGAAACCCAAGTATAGACAGAACTATGACTTTATTCTCAGGGAAACATAGCATCTTAAAGAAGCTTCATATTTAGCAGAACCCTAGGAAGATAGAGAATCAATTGTGAGGAGAAGTGCCTCAGCAGATGGGCCATGTGGAGTTCCCAGACCCCCACCCAGAGGGGTGCAGGAGAAAGACTGAAATGAACTCAAGAAGGGCACAGGGTGGTTTAAATAGACCCTCAATTAAACTTGCTGCCTGGGGCTGGCTGCCTGGGTCCTATAGAGGAGCTGAAAGTTTGAATGCTTTCTTCAAGATCCCAGTATTGTACATATTTTTTTATTATGTTATGTTAATCACCATACATTACATCATTAGTTTTTGATGTAGTGTTGCATGATTCATTGTTTGCGTATAACACCCAGTGTTCCATGCAGAACGTGCCCTCTTTAATACCCATCACTAGGCTAACCCATCCCCCTACTCCCCTCCCCTCTAGAACCCTCAGTTTGTTTCTCAGAGTCCATAGTCTCTCGTGGTTCGTCTCTTCCTCCGACTTCCCCCCGCTTCATTCTTCCCCTCCTGCTATCTTCTTCTTCTTTTTTTTTTTTTAAACATATAATGTATTATTGGTTTCAGAGGTACAGTATTGTGTATTCTGACAAGTGAAATGAGTGCTTTGGTCACTATTAGTGTATCTAGAACTCCAAAGGGGATAAGGGGTATCCTAGTGAAGCTTTGTATTGTAGTCTTAGTACGTGTAGAGAAATCTGTTACCTTGATTTTTATTTTGGGTATCTGTGAAGAGATTCCCAGAGTTCTTTACCCCAAAGGAGGCAACTCTTAGGCAATGTACAAAAATATACATATGGGGCCAATTGTTATCACCTAAAGTGTGCCAATCATGCTGACCCTTGGGTTTTCTCCTTTATCAGGGACATTCTGGTTAAGGGATGAAAAACAGCAGCTCTCCACTGAGTCCCATCATTTATGATGGTGATGATATCATCAGCAAAATGTATGAACTCCCACTGCTGGTCATTCATTTGATTCTAATGGGCCCCCCAAGTAGATGAAGGCTCTGGGAAAGTCATGGCCTCCACCAGGACTGTGGCATCTGTCGAGAAACTGAAGAGCCACCCCCTCTGCAGGTGGATCATATCAGAGGGCCCAGGTTTGACTTTATCCAGTAGCATGGAAGGCTCAGAAGCTATGCTGAGCTTTTGGGGTGCTGCTTTAATAACTCAAGGCATAACGGCTAGCCAGGTACAAGGGGTCACAGGCTCAAAGTTTGTGAGAGCTTTATTTCCAGAAGAACCCACTATATGGCCAGTAATTGCTCTTCTAATGGTATATAGTGCCAAGCCAAGAAAGGCAGTTTCTTGCATCAGAAGTCCATGGGCAAGTTATGGCCAGCATAGGTGGTCCAGAAACTCTAGGAGTCATGAAAGATGGTTACTGAAGCCTCTATGGTGAAGAGGTTTCTGAGGGCACAAACTGGAGTGCTTGTTGATTTCAATTTGGACAGATTTTTAGAGCCTTTTATTGGTGGGATCCCCTTTCAAAGTGGGCTAATTTGTTAATAACAACATTAGTAACATTAAGTAAAATTTGTAATTGAAGAATATGTTACCTGCAGAACCCAAAAGGGACTAAAAATGTTGAAGTTGTCTTAACCATGCGAGTACTGAAATGGTCAATACCTGTTTCTTTTTATTCTTTTTAAAGATTTTATTTATTTATTTACAGAGCACAAGAGTGGGGAGGGGCAGGGAGAGAGGGAGAGAGGGAGGGAGAGAATCCCAAGCGGACTCCTCACTGAACATAGAGCCCAGTGCTGATTGGATGGAGTCAGCAATTTCAGTAATTAGGTCGTTGGGTATAGGGGCTTTAATGGGATGGGACCATGGCATCACAGTTGCGGCAATCCACTATAGGCCACCATTCATTTGTTCCAGATTTAAGGAACAGGCCAAATAAGGCTGTTAAATGGAATAGCAGTGGGATCAGGGAAGAATTCACTCATTACCTGTTAAATAACAAGGTTTTAATCCTTGAGGACATTGTTTTAAATTACATTGAGTCGTGTTAACTATTTAATGGGGTTGGGGGGGTAGGGCGTGGGGAATGGGTCGTGAGTTCTTATTTTGTTAAGCCAGTAATTTTCATTTATTTTTTATTGGATCAGAGTGTCCATACTCACTACGGGATATTTTAGGGCAATGAGTGCCATAATCATAGGGAATTTAAGCTAGACAAAATTTCCTATAGTTAAGGAGAGTCATACCTATTTGTCTTCTACCTTATATTCAGTAACTCCCTTAAGTAAATCCCTCATTATAGGGGATACCATGTTTACCTTTAGTGGGATTCAAGGTATAACTGTAATTTTAGCCTTAGTATTCATTAAGCTCAATTGGTGAATTTCTGCAGATATTAAAATTAATTCAGGGATGCCTGGGTGGCTCTGTCATTTAAATCTCTAACTCTTGGTTTCAGTTCAGGTCATGATCTCATGGGTCATGGGATCAAACCCCATGTTGGGCTCCATGCTCAGCAGGGGGTCTGCTTAAAGATTCTCTCCTTCTGCCCCTCCCTCACCTCTCTCTCTTAAATAAATAAATAAATCGTAAAAAAAATTAATTCAGAATCTAGATTATAAAGGCACACAAGACAATCAGTGTCCTTTTATCTTTTGCTATATAAATGTTTCTAGTAAATTTTGGATTTCCAATTAGGTCAAATTATAGGCCTTTGTTTTAAGTTGTTTCTTGTTGGTTTTCTCTTTCTGTGTTCAGGGTTCATTCTTTTTCTTTTTTTCTTTATCTTATTATTGTTGTTTGGTGACTGGATATACTTGAGGTGGGGGTGGGGAATGGTGCTCTCCACTCCTACCATATTTATAAGTTTCTTCCCCCAGAGAACCTCAAATCAGTATCATCATGGTTGGGGGTATCCCCAATAGCAGTAGTTGGTTTATAGACCATGGGCTTATGTTCCATTTGAATTAACCCCTTCATGATGCCACAAAGGTGCCATGGGTGTTTTGTTGAGGATTAGGATGTTTGTTGCAATGGAGACATGGGGAGCAGAGCGGTGCAGTGGAGGAGCTGTGGGCCTACCGCCAGACTTGTTGGATCAAAACCCTCCTCTGCTGTGTCCCCACCTCTTCTGTCATGTGGACTTCCTTTTTTTTTTTTTTCCTCTCTCTGTTCAGAATGGCTGAAAATATTTTAGGTTTTTAGCCACATAAAGTTGTAGCTTTCAGTTTCTGTCTGCACAATCACCTGTACGGCAGGCCTTCTAGGTATTTATGGGGAAAGGTTCAGGACCTTGGTGGCCTCCTTTGTAGGGGGTTGCCTCTTCGTCCAGGGAATGCCAGTCTTCCTGGGATCAAGGTCCATATCCAGTAAAGTCATTTTGTCTATGGCTTGGATGGAGACCATAAGGCCAACGATTGCAAGATTAGCCCTTTGGTGTACTGGTAGGCAGCAATACTGAGCAAAGCCTAGGTACACTGGCTATGAGTTTCGTTTTGGGAGAGCAGTTGAGTACCAATGTTCCTTCCTCCCCCTACCTTTTTTTTTTCACCAGCCCCTGGGCCACCGGCCACGATGGATGTGCACCTCGATACTCCTGAGGGTCAGGAGCGCGCAAGCAACAGTGGCAAGGGAAGCAACGGCACAGGAAACCAGCAAGGTCATACCCTTGCATGAACAACTGGGATGCTATGCTCAATTCTCTACAGGGTGATCTCCTTTCTTTCCACAAACCTCACAAAAGGCTATCTGTGGGCCTGTCCCTGAGGTGCACAATTACAAACAATGTCTGTATAGCTTCCCCAAGCAGCTGCTGATAGTCACCAGGCCAGACACAGTGACGTAGGCTGATCCTTGGTAAGCAGAGACCACCTGCCAAACAGACTAAACCTGACGTCACCAGGTTATAGCAGGATACAGTGAAATAACAATTCTCATCTTGGGAGCAAGAGAGTTTTAGGGTGGAAAGTGATGGCAACACCTGGCAAAGACAACAGAATATCACACAGGACGTAGCCCAAGCCTGCCAGCAATTAGCTGTTCCATCTCAGGCAGCCTTACCATATCACAGAATCAGGTTAGTTAACCAAGAGCAATTCATTAAGGCTGACCAGGTGTCCTCAGTCATGGTGGAGCTTATCATGTGGTTTGGGACACAGTGGTTTCTATTGCCTCTTATTCACCCCATTGGTAAGGAAGAGATTCCTGCCCTGGGGCTATGGGAATAGCTAAACATTCAGCACTTGCCACTGAACAGATGCGATTGACAGCAAATTATTAGTCACATATATTTATAGCTCAGGAAGAAGGGTACTGAAGGCCATGCAGGGCTTCATAGGGATTGTACTCAGGAACAGAGTGAAAAACAACCAAGGAGACTATAGGAGGCAGACTTTGTAGTAACACGAGTGTGTGGTGCCTCCTGGTTCTTACAAGATGATATGATTGGTTTGTTTGAATAATTCCACAGGCTTGCAAAAACCACAACTTAAGGATAAGTAGGAACTGTGCCTGGTCCCTTTGTTTGGCTAGCGTACCTTATCCATGAGAACAGAGTGGGGAGGGAAACTTATATTTAGGCCATTTGAAGCCTTCCCAGATGTCAAGGCAGCATATAATATTGAGCCTTAATTTTAGGCCTTACACCACATGGAGAAATGAATTCTGTGTATGATTGTGAGTTGGTTGGAAATTTACCCCAGAGAGAATAAATTTTAATGTGGAAGTGAATGATTAAACTTGAAATCACAAAACTATTTTCTTCTCTGAAGGAAAAATGGGGATCTGTGAGTTAAAATAAGTTCTATTAAAGAATAATGCATTTACATCATTGCACATCTGTTTTTTTTTTGACTGACTAAAATGAATATCTTGCTGTTACTTGGATAAAAAATTATTGAGGGGTACCTGGCTGGCTCAGTTGGTAGAGAATCCAACTCTAAATCACAGGTTGTAAGTCTGAGCCCCATGTTGGATGTAAAAATCACTTAAAATATAAAAATAAAACAAAACTCCTTTGTCTCCACCACTATACCATGAAACAAAACAGTGAGCATTGATTCAAAAAATTATTGAAACTTAACTAGAACTTCTTTTTATAAAATAATGGAAGACTTAATGTCCTTCAGAAAGCCCTAGTACACAACACTCTACAATGTAGGATATATTTTCAAAAAAAATTTTTTAAGATTTTATTTATTTATTTACAGAGCACAAGAGT